TATATATATATATATATATATATATATATATATATATATATATATATATATATCGCTGATTTTTTTATTCCATCTCAAATAAAACAAAAATTATTCTTATTAATGCTGTCATACTTGAATTCAGTAAATCAGTTTTTAAAATACTTATTGATTATTGCGCAGGACTGATACGGAAAACTTTTACATCGATTGCGGGAACTGATGCCTATAGACATAGATAAATGCTACCAATCTTGCCGCTGCTCTTATGGAGCAAATAAAGTGTTATCAGCTCTTATAAATTGTTTACAGCTATTTCAGTTACAAATTGCCTGCAAGCGATAGCTAAATGCAAAATCTGGGCGCCAAAAGTATACAATGCGAATAAGATATTTTATAGAAGGTTAAATATATTATAAATCATATATACCCTTGGGAATTGTCAAACCAAAAAGGAGCTGAACAGTTAAAAATATCAAAAATTGATATACTCATGCATATTGCTGTTTGTGGTTGGAATGTACAATTCACTATGACAACGTTCATTTGAAATGCTGTATATCCTTATACTTTTTACTCCTTTTTTTCTGGAAATGTTGATTACCAGTATGCATTGCCCCAAGGCTCTATTAGATAGTAGGCCCATAAATAAATAAAAAAATCAAATTTACCACAATGCCTGTAAAAATTGTTTCGCTTGATTTCCACATTGACCATTCTTTGTTGCCATGAAACCTTCCTCGAACCTTACAGAATGCCTGTAGATCAATAATATTGTAGTTATAGTTATAGTTATAATTAGATGACATATATAGACCGATTGGAAAAGTGGTTGTCATTCTTTTTTCTTTCGGAAATAATTTCAACCTTGGTATTAACTATCGCCTTCTAGAATAGTTAGTACTAACAGTATAAACTCAATACCCAGCATCATACTGCCACTTCTGGTAACAAGTTTTGCTTACGCTAAATTCGTGATCCTGTGGAAAGGCTGGCAAAATGGGAGAGAACTAACTTCTTTGCATGCTCTTCTATAATATTTTAGTACCCGTTAAAACCATTAGTAATTAGAACTAGACAAAATATTATGCACACCTTTTTGTTCCATTCATAACCACTGGGATTTTGCAGACCGGTTCTTCTATCAGTATAACTTTTATGCTCATACAAGTTCTCGTAGTTTGTTTGTGCTGCAGTTCCATTGAACTTATGTTCGAATGCGTGTGAAACGTCGCTAGAATCGCGGAACCATCGTAGGTGAAACTCAACATATGAAGCGTTATCAAAATAATCCCAGCTGCATCGTAATGCTACATCTTCTCTATCTTCAT